CCAGTACGCGGCGGTCTAAAGCTGCTCGTAGTGGCTGTCCCTTGCCTGTGATCCCTTGCCCCCCCATTAGTTTCAGTTCTTTTCTATTATCTACTGTATGGACACCAGAAGCCGGGAATTCCCCAAGGAAGAGATAGTTACTTATTGACTTTGTTCCAAGTATTATGCCAAACCAACTTGATTGTGAGCCCATGTGCTAGAAAGGAAGAACCTTCCTCACAGACGTGCATGGATGGGTGAGCATTCTGCCCTCGAGGAATTCTTGTCTGGACAGGGGAGGGGAGGAAGGAGAAACACAAAGAGACCAGACAGTGAAGGCTATGTCCCTTTTCATTCCTCCAAATGAAAAGAACTTTTTCATTTCATTATGACTTAGCCATTCAATTACCTGTTCGTGTAAACGTGTGAGTATGCTCGGCAACATAAATCAGTATTGCAAAGTCTCTCTATCGCATCATGCACAAATAGTTGGTGAATGTTCCAGCAATATTGTGCAACAGACACACCTCAAGCAGTAGCACAGTGGCTATCAACAATGGGAGCTAATAGAAAACCTGAGCAATCTCTTGACCTCTGGTTTGAATAGAGAGAGTTAATTCATTGGGATGGGTATCAGGGGAGCATTATCCTGTGAGCCAAACTATTTTTCACAATGAAGACAGCTTTATTTTTCTGGTCCAATCACAGCACTCATTTCATCCAGGAAGTTTCCCAGGATTTCTGAAGTAAAAGTCTTCATGTAGCATCATTGAATTTACATGTCCATGCATGGTAGAAATCACAGCAACTACAGTCATGTTCCCTTCTCGTTGAGTAGCAACCCTTTTCAGCCTCTTCAATGGGAAATATGAGAGAGCCAAACAGCTAAGTCAGTTGGGAAAGTGTTGCAGAAACCTACGTATAAGAAATTTAAACACTTCATAAGTTATTTTTTGTTAATAGGTGAATGGCCATTGCTTACTGTCTCACTCCATCCAAAGAGCCATATTGGAGGCGATATTCATCTCTTTCTTTGCAATGCACTTTTATGCATGCTAGACTGAGAACTTGCTCTGACAAGTCTGTCAGAGGAGTCTGGAGAGAGGTCATCCTGAATAAAGCAGTTCTTTCCAGGCTGAGTTTAGGAAAGAGAATCTACATTCACTGTTTGGTTTCTTATTGTCTTCCCTTCCACCAATGTCTGTATACAAATTCTTCAGGGGGAATGCTCATGAAGGAAGTTCTCCCTTTCTAGCTCATGGGGTCAGAATCAAGTTGGTGTGATGTACTAAAAACAAGTAACAATTTCCATCAAAATGTGGTACTTATATCAAACATGTATAAAAAGAAGTTCAATAGGGCCGATAAATAATTGAATTGATTACTGGTTAGTAATTTCAGCAAATTTCATTAAATAAAATTTCATTTTATTGAGATCCTACTTTCCTATCTGATGTGACAAATGAAAGATAAAATAATGTTTCAAGTTCATTATGGGTTTTTATTGCTGCCTCACAACCAGCATCAATACTTCCACAGAATCAGGTCAACCTGAGAGAAAGAAGCTACAGTTGGATGGAAAAAGGGTGTTGGGGAAAGGATATGCTGTCTGCTCTGTTTAAAAACAATGTAATTTTAAGGGAAAAATTCAAAAAGGGGTTGTCACAATTACTCTGGAATTACCTTAACGACATGGTTTTGAATGTCATTATCTAGAGAATAATGGGTTTCTATGATATAGCATATTATAAATAGAGATCCATTCCCCTTGAGTACATGGGTAAAATTCGCCCTAAATTCAATTCATCCTCACCAACCTGCATAGGCATGCAGGCAGTGCTTCTGCCTTGATTGTGACGTACTTTCTCAAAGTCTGGCTCTAAGATGTAAACATGGTTACTCTTTAGTTATAATGCATGGTCTTCATCACCAGGTTTCTCCATTCCCAACTCAGGCTGTAGCTGAACAAGATGAAGCTCCTTCTAATCACTGTTGCCATCCTTTGCAAAAGAGGTTGTGCTCTCTCAGGTGAGGCAAGATTTGAATTTTTTCTAGCTAATGGAATCATTGGCTTAGAAGTTCAACACTCTCAGGTGTTAATTATTTTCTAGGCATGGGTAAAATATTCCTTTTAGTTTTGTAGATTTAATTAAGTTCAGGAAGCAGGTACTATGTTTAAAAAATATAATCATGTTTCAATTTACTTGAAATTTGTGAACAAAATGTGAAAGTATCTGGAAAAGTTATGCAACTTCATTTGTTCACTAGCAGTGAAATTTCAATTTTCTATCATGTATTTTCAACATTCCTTTTACAATCTAATGTAATTTATAAAAACCCCAAAAAGATACAGCTACATAAAATATTTTGCTCGCAAAATGCTTTCATCTCATCATAAGGAATGGGAGAATACAAAAGTTTTCCCATTTGTGAAGTCTGAAGGTCAATGGGCCAGCCCAAAGTGTTGGATGTGACATCAGAAGTAATTTTTTACATTAAATGTATTAAAAATGTTAGAAGTAATGAATCATCATATATAGGTTGGTACATTTAGCCTCATGTGGTGACTGAAAATTGCAGGACTGGGGTGTTTAGGATGTGACATCAGAAGTAATTTTTTACATTAAATGTATTAAAAATGTTAGAAGTAATGAATCATCATATATAGGTTGGTACATTTAGCCTCATGTGGTGACTGAAAATTGCAGGACTGGGGTGTTTGTGGAAAAGTGGTTCACCAAAGGTTCCATTTTACAGACAAGTTGCTTCACCAAATACCAGCTTCTGCTGGGAGGGTCATCTCCTAGACAGGACATGTTAGCAATGCCCAAGAAGAAGGCCTTGACAACTTCTAGAGATCTCTTTCAGAATTGTGCACAGTGACTGTCCTGTCAGTGGTTTCATTAATGGAATTAGCAACCTAAAAATGTGGTCAGCATCAAATAAAGGTAGGAAGCTATATATTCAATGCAAACGAGAGGAAGAACGGAAAGGTATAGTGAGACGAACCATTGGTTCTCAATATCAGGCAATTGACTTCACATGACTTTAAAAAGCTCTTTTAACCAGTACAGTACAGATACTTGTTTTTGTCCTATGAAACAGTACCAGGTCTAGGAAATAGTCATTTAGCAAACTGGTTGCGTCTGTGTAACACCCCCAACCTGAAAATTCATTGAGCCCAAGTTTTGCAACCTCTTGTTTTTTGGTATTTATATGGCAAATCAAATTCTATAGGTGAAATGAAAGCCTGACAGAGTAATTTCTTCTATCATTTGAGTACCTTGAAAAAGAAATCAAGGCTATATTGTGACTCGCTCTGTCACATCTGACAATGTGCAAGTTGCTCGAACAATTCCCTGCACTGCACTCTCCAGACGGTACTGTGTGACCAGCAGTAGTCCAAAATGGACATGTCCAAATTGAATGACCAAGATCTCATGTTGCTGGTAAATGTTTTCTTGCAGGGATATTCTCACCCTGTGAGTTTTATGGCCCAAGTAACGAGGGAGTGGACTGTCGTATGAACAAAAATGATGAAGAATTTTATTTGGTGGGACTGATTGATACTTCAGTATGTCCACCTCAAGTGAACTTCAGCATCAATGTAAGTTATTTCAGTATCTTTATGATGGGTTTAAGCTAGCTCTAAGGTAGCATGTCCAAGTAGCATTATGATACCCCATGCTCAAGCCTATTTATAAATTTTTGCAACTATAGGAGATTCTGATTCTCTTCTTAGGTTGATGGAAAAAATAGCGAAGAGTGGATGAATCTTAATCCATTGAGTCCTCATTGAAATTGTCTTTCCATTGATTTAAGGATTTTTTTTCCAGCAAGCAGAAATGGTATGAATTGCTTCTTGGGCATGGTATGTACACCACTGGGTTACAAATGTTGAGCTACTTGGCTTCAGCAGAGGTTGAATTTGTATTTGTTCACAGATTTTTATATATGCATGTCTGCCATTTTGCTTTAACCAAACTAGATCACACAGGTCAATTTTATGAAATTCCCTTTGATGTTACCTTGGGATTGCACCATGAAATGACTCAGCAGAAGTGCAGATGTCAAGCAATGAGTAATGGCAAATGAACTGGCATGAGTAGAATCCCCACAAGCCTCCTCTCCTAGGCATATGCGGAATTGTCTCTGAATAACACTATACTCAATCTTATTAAATGCTATTGCAAGTTCCTCCATCTATTTCATGGATAAAATAAACTCTTGGGTGTTACTTTTTTCATGGTTATGTGTATACTTGTGAGTATTAGGGTATCAGAGATTAGCAATCTCTGGTACTACTTTGCTACAGAGATCACTGCATACAGCCATGGTCTTCTTTGTGTTCTCATCAGAGAATTTGCTAAGCTTGACAGGATGAAAATGTCATTATTAGAACGAAGATATGCAAAATCTCTGCTTGGTAAAAAAAATATGTGATATTCTATGGGCTTGGCTGATTATCATGAGCTTCTCAAATGTTTTGTGATGTAATATAGCTTTATCCTGAATTTTCATCCAGGTTCCCCTGGTTTGGGAGTATACCTATGTGTTTGGCAGTCAGCAAGAACCAGTAGTTATTGAGGGTCTGAATATGATATTCAAGTGTGAGAATCAATCTGATACTGATTGTCCCTTTCAACAGAAAAAGAAAGTCCAGACCCTCTTGGTAAGAATTTCCTTTTTCATGCTTTTCAGGTTGCATCAAAGCCTTCCAGGTATTCCAGGAAATTTCAGCTTTGTATCTCTTGTCTTTGGCTTTTTTAAATTATTAAAAAGAAAGTCCAGACCCTCTTGGTAAGAATTTCCTTTTTCATGCTTTTCAGGTTGCATCAAAGCCTTCCAGGTATTCCAGGAAATTTCAGCTTTGTATCTCTTGTCTTTGGCTTTTTTAAATTATTAGTGTTAGTTTCTTATCAACTGACTTAAAAGGGCTATAAGAACATGGGGCTCTTGCAGTTGCTGCACCAACCATTGCATGCTGAATGGGCAGTCCCTCTTAAGATGTTTTCAATTGTTTCTTAATTGCAATTTGCTGGCAGAGTTACTGCTTTAATAGGTAAAAGTCCTGGTTCCAGATAGCCATTCCATAGCCACAATGCAGACCTTATTGTTTGTTTCATGCAGAGTGTGTTGCAAGAAGAATTCTACCTTCCAAAATTCCAGAGTATTGAAGATTTGAAAGAGCAATTGTTGAGTCTTGGTAAGCCATATATGGCAAGCTTGGCAATCTCATTGCTGCCACAACTTGATATTGGCACACTCAATTACATGTCACCACCAACTAGAAAGTAGTACATGCTGAGTTTCTGCTTTGAGGCAATGAAGAGGTATTATATTCCATTCAGAAGGCTGTTTTTGTATGATAGCTATCGCTGCTCATTGATAGCATCACTGCTAGAGCCGCTACTCTGGATCATGATAACATCTTGACAGGGGCTTCCTATTAATTTGGTGAGCCCATTTTGACTCATAAATGGCTGAGCATGTCAATGTGAATCAGAAAATTTTTGGCCCAAATGCACAAACCTCATTTAGGGGAGATAAAGGAGCCTTTAACCCATCTGCTCACCAATTATCTTTGCTGGAGCTACCAGTAAAATACCATTAAATTTGATTAAAATTCACTATCAACACTTACATACTGATGATTACCCACAACTGCCAACTAAGTGCAGTCTTGTCAGACATAAGTAATTCCAATAGACAAATCAACAAAACAGGACTATGGAAACAATTGGATGAGCCAAGCACATGTAATGTCTGACCGTTGATTCAATGGCTTGGTATGCAGATGGATTAAGTTAACCCTTTTGTGCATGATGTCCACTGTAGTGGACAGCAATGATTTTGGTTATGATGATGGCTTTTCAGCCATGGTACATATGCCTTGAAACTTTTGATGCATGATGTCCACTCCAGGGTATACAATCTATTCAGTGTTACCTTCTAGCAGTGGAACATGTGATTACTATGCAGAGTACCTCATTAAGTGTTAAATCAAAAAGCATATTTTTGTTTTGCTTTAAAAATTCATGCAAAAAATGGTTAAATAGCTCTTATTTTCCCCATAGGAATCCTTGTATTCTTAAAAGACTCATAACCAAGGGAAGTTTCAGCATTCAGGTTGTAGTTGCTAGGAAGACATTTTCAACTCTTAGCTCTCTCAATCAGGGCCAAGTTAGCAACCCCTGCTATATGTTGAGAAAATAAGGTAAATAAGCTTAATGCTGTGGAAATGAAGGGATATTCATTAAAGTCTCTGTTGTGGCAGTGCTCCTTAGAAGAAGGGGGACAAGTGAAGGGAATCCTGAATTGGAGCTTTTCCATTTTACCCAGGGGACTCCAAAAATCAGAAGCCTGTCACCATTCTCCAAAAGAATGATTTCAAGACTTCCACCTCACCAAATATATTAATTTTAGGTAAGGATGGAAAAATCAATTAACCACTTTTAGTTGACTGCATGTTTGATCATATTTCTTTAACCTGAAATTCAATAAAGCTCAAAATGCAACTGCAGATGCAGATCTCATGCGTTATTCGTGGTATTCCTTTGCAGAGCACTCAGCAGCCCTGTGCAGCTGTGAGATACAAATATCAGGACAAGTAGCATTGTAGATGCATAATTCAGTCATAAAATCTTCCCACTTGCTCTAAAGGATTGCAGGGTTACAGCTCCTTTCATAGCTAGTGACCAAGACCAACTTTTTTTTTGCTCAAGAGCATGGCATCTTATGAAGCATAAAATTATGCCTACATTTGGACATATTCTAATGTCTTTCATGAGTACTTTTCCAGTTCAATGATTATTCTACTTGGCTATCCACTTACAGTGATATTATCCCTGTTCATGGTGGCACTGGTCACAGGCCTTCTGATCTACATTTATTGCCAAAGACGTAGGAAGGCCAGCGACATGGCCTCACTGGCTGCATCGTTCTCCACCACTGCCCCCTCCATCAATGGAGCTGTGCCTTATCAGGTATTTCAAGTTATTTCAAAATTTCTTTGTTCTGCTGGATGTGTAAAGTGAGAAAGAAGACACCTCATACTGGCCCCAATACCTGGGATTGCTTTGGTCTTTGAGCACAAAACTTTTTGCCTGTTAGAAGAATACTAGAACCTCAGTTTTCACTGAGTGCTTGCCACAACTCCTAAATCTATTTAAAATGACCCCTTTACTTTTGGAAATAAATTTAAATTTAAATCCCTGTTCATGGTGGCACTGGTCACAGGCCTTCTGATCTACATTTATTGCCAAAGACGTAGGAAGGCCAGCGACATGGCCTCACTGGCTGCATCGTTCTCCACCTCTGCCCCCTCCATCAGTGGAGCTGTGCCTTATCAGGTATTTCAGGTAATTTAAATTAAAAAATTTATACTGGATGCATAAAGTGAGAAAGAAGGCTTCTCACACAGGCTCCAATACCTGGTAGTGCTTTGAGCACAAAACTTTTTGTGCATTAAAAGAATACTAGAACCTTAAGATTCCCTGAGCGTTTGCCGAAACACCTCAATCTGATAAAGATTACCTCTTTCTTTTTGGAAATATGATAAATTCTAAACCAGTAGTGGTAATGTGCTTAAGAGATGGACAATAGAGTTTGTGGTTGCCCCCTCTTTGCATTAATAATTGATTCTGTTATTCCCATTGAATTTTGCTGAACTTGCCTGTCTTTGGTCATACTCTTATTGTTTTCCAATTTTGTGCATCAATAATCGAGGTGGATGTGTCTATCTTTTGAATTTCCTTTGGGAAGACAGAACTAGCAGACTGTGTAATGAAAGATTTTGTTTAGGAGGAGCCAAAGGTGACACTGAGTGTGGGTGATGGAAGCTGAAGATGAAGGATGATGTCAAGACAGAACAAGTGACCAAGACCAAGTTTTATGCTCAAGAGCATAAAAGCATTAAGCTTGAAATAATTTGAACGAAGTGTCTAACTGAAGTGAGGGTTTTCATGGGTGATGTATTGACAATGAGTTATGAAAACCAACAGTAGAATTTATTTAAAATATAGAAAGTTTTTATTTAAATGCTGTTGAAAGTTTGATTTTGAATTTAAAGATTTTAATTCAAAAGCAGCTTCAGAATCTGGTGGAAAACAATCATGTCATCATCCTTTATTATTTAATTATTTGTTTGACATTTTAGCCATGAAGTCTATCAAGTTTTATCAAGATAAAAGAGACTTTTTTATCTTTTTATCTTTGAAATTCATGCAATCACCCTATTCTCAGGATGTTCTCTTCTCAGAAGTGTAGCATTACACTGTTGCCAGCTATCTGTTTGTGACAGGCAGCTTTATGGCTTATTGAGCCATCAGGGAATCACATTCCAGTCATTCCAGTTTGTATTCATTTATTGTACTCTGCCTTTGTCGGATGCAGTCATGTATGCTGAGTGTATGTATTGGAAAATTATTTAACCCCTTGAACACACCAGGTATTGGACAATTTCCCCCCGTCATACTTCAGAATTTTGTATTTAATAAAATAATATTTTGTTTCTGATAAAGTTCTCTACTTAAATGCTATTACCACTGACTTAACTTCCTCTTGTGATACTGTTTCCTCCCATGAGCAACTGTTGAGTTGTGTGTATTGATTACATAATTCCTCCATGATGTTTATGGGTGCATTGTACCGTATGTTCAAGGGGTTAATAGTTTTCAGTGGAAGTTATTGTATTTGTGGCCATGCATCATGTAATATTTTTGGCCATGTTTGCATGTTTCTCGCCCACCCAGCTCTCATTTCTATTCTGCTGCAAACATGTGTCTTATGAACTATTTAATATTTGCCATGATGCCCAGGGCAGGCATTCTTTCTCTGCCAAGGCTCTTATGATTTCCTGGCCTGGGCCCTCTTATTTTTACCTACTTGACAAGTTGTTTTTTGTACTTTTTTGGCTACCTAGATTGGCTCAAGACAATAATGTTTCCTTTAACCAATCATCATGCATTTCTTTGTTCAATTCTTAGTACATTAATATACGAATTAATGTTTTTTCTGTGATAATTCATTTGTTCACTTCTGCACCACTTGCCACATGGGTATTGGAGCTGAGGCAAGCTACCTTTGACTTCTTATTTAAACCCCTAACTGTCCATGAGACACAATTCCCTCATACTCCAACAGATGGACCATCCAATCTCAATCCTGTTTGTCATGGTGTCAACAAAGACCCAGATGATTCAATGAATAATTCAGCATCAGCTAATCTTGACTGCTGCTTGCTCCCAATTCAATATTCACTGGGAAAAAAGAGAGAACAATGGGTCTCTTCAAATAGGATTTTAGTGTTGCTTAATGTTGTGACATAAGGTCGTCCAGCATGGCTGGTAGCACTAAAAAGTAACAAAAAAGAAAGCAAAAAAAAGCCCTTGAGTAATTACAGGTGATACACCTCACCACCACAAGAAAGAGATTGAATTTCCCCCTTGTGAAGGTCCACATTTATTGTTGCAAAGAAATTAAATCTTGGCAAGGGCTCCTTCTGGAACTGGGTTTCAGACCGGTTCTAATTTTCACATACAGGTCTGTATTCAGTGCAAAATGATCTATGAATCATTGGGTAAGGTAAAAGAAAAAAAGTGAATGTTGCAGCTTCAGCTCACATAGTATTGAGATGAAAAAGGTGAAAATGACAAGAAAAGCAAAGGTCACCACCAAAGTAGTCCTGCAGCCACAGGAAGTAGAACCCTGCATGAGTTGTGGGCTGGCCTGATCAACCCAACCTGCAGGCTGTATAGGGCCGAAAATCTCAAGATTATTCTCCAGGTTGGGCCAAATTTTTTTAAATTGCATTTTTTTATTATTTTAATGCTCCTCTGGTCTCAGACCATGGAAACTCCATGTCAGGACTGGAATCCTATTTATGCACGTAATCCAAGTGAAGGAAAATACTTCATTGTGTGACCATTATTGTAAATGAAGGAAGAAAGAATCCGGATCGGGCATGGGGCAATATGTGTCATTCGAGACCGGAATCTATAGGGCACCTCCTCTTTAAAGAAATTTTTTCCAGTCGGTCGACAGTCTACAATCTCCTGTTTTTGCACAGCAACTTTGAATGATGGGGAAATACACAGGAAAGCTTAGGTTGAAGTGTTTAATTTTTGCTCGGGTCAGGCCGCGAAGTTGGGTTAGAATTCGGGTGTCTCTAGGGTGTCCTGGCACCAAGAGGACAAATGTTGATAATAAAATAGAAGGGTTGAAACTCCTTGTTTCTCTTCTTTCCATTTGACAATTTCTCACCCATCATGGCCAATTCATGTGCTACTTGCTATTATGGCATTTGTTTAGATGTTTATTATTCCATACATTGATTATTTTCTTCTATTCTTTAGGAATGGGCCATGTACTCTTGAGGCTTTCACAGAGCGCTCTGCTTTCGTGTTGTTTTGGCTGTATTCTTGGGCTGGGGCTCTTGCTGTATGCTGCATTTCCCCTGTAGAAAATTTGAAAATGAAACTAAAAGCTGATACCCAGAGGCATAAAATGCTAAATATTGAAGCTGCATTCCAGCCTTGAACATGGAATTCCAGCACGATCACATTGAGACCTTTAAGCAAGACCAAATTAGGACTTGTACCCATTCCCTTACTGCTCAAACCATTCTTCAAATGGAGGGGGGGGGGAAAAGTTAATCTGACTCATTCCCATTTTTATTTTTACCCCAGTTGGGTGATTTGTATTGATCTGTATTTGCTTCTTTGTTTTTGCAGGAAAGTCTTGGTGCAATTTAGACATAAGCCAGGTCCTTTATTTTATGCTGCCACTCTCAGTACACGAAATGGAAAGTAACGCAAGGACAGCAGCTGAGTAGGACAGGAATGACTGAAGAATCTCCTCGATCCCAAGGAATCCTCACTTTGTGACTGGGATTGAAACAGCCAGTTTCCAGCCCTGAATGCTGACTGAATTTTTTTGCTCGTCTGTCAGCTCTTTTCAAGTCCTTTCCATTGTTCCAATGTTTGACACTGTCTTGAAAAAAAAATTTTCAATTTTGAAAAAGAATTTGTTGAACAGTAGGGACATGCCACTTGATCATGTTTTCAGTGGGGCACATGATCAAATTTCAGAGATATTTTCCCTTTCATAACATGCACCCCTGGACTCAGTTGAGTGATATCTGAATCAGTATATGACTTTCCCGTGACAGAAGCAATCAAAACTTTGTTCCAAGGAGACAGATTAACCCCAACTCCTTGAACCAATCAGTAAGCAACGTATGCCATGAACCCTTTGAGGAAGGCGTTTTTCCAAGGGCAGGGTGGCATCAGCTCTTAAATAGACAGACTTACTCCTCGAGGGATTAAAGTGCTCTAAAGACCATTTCGCACTTTGCATCTCGTGCATGACGTGTGCAATATGGAAATGCATGTTGGAAGCTCTGAATTTCCATGTTTGTGTCTACTTGTGTCTCCATCAGTGCCGACGGAATCCTGACACGTCTAGTCACGTAGGACAGCATCTCGAAGCACTACATATGCATACACTCATATGCATACATGTCTCAATTCAAATTGATCCCGATTCCACGCCCCAGCCTTGCATTTTGTGAAAACCTTTCGACGTAGTTGGATGTGCATGTGCGCACAAAGTGTGATATGCCCCTAACTTAGACGTGAAAGCATCGATGAATTCCTGGAATGCACCCATGAAAAGGTTCATCATTCCTGTAGAAGAAGAAAAATCGATCTGGGTTGAAGTCATTGTTATTCGAGATTTTGCAGAGAACTATATCTTTAATCTTCATTATGCTGCCCGGGGATTCCGTTTGAGTAATGACCTGGTTGCATTTCACGTTTTGACTTCATTATTATTATGGAGAGCCTTGGGGATTACATCAAAAATGAAGAGGAAGCACAATCCTTGCGCTTAGCCAGTATACGTGTTTCTCTCATGATAGAGTTTTCTTTTTCAGAAATATCTCATCTGTCCTCTTCATGAATAGAAAGTAAGTGTTGATACCATCTATAAAATTTGTGTATTTCTTAGATGACAAAGCTGGTCGTTACGAAGGAATACAATTTTCGGCGACATCTACCTTTTAGAAAAGAACCAAAAATAAAACGGGAGAAGAGACAAACAGGAACGCGTAATTCTCAAAAAGCCAAAAAAAAAAGGTCCCGTTCTTTCGCATCCCCGATTTAAGAGCTTAGAATTAGCTGAAGCGCCCAGCAGCCAAAGACCTCACTGAATGCCCAAGGCTTCAGAGAGGAAGTCGAAGGAGAAGAGTTCGAAGGGAAACGACGGGAAGTTCACCTCAAGTGAGCCAGATCGTACTTTCCTTCCATCGTTGCCCTTGTCACTGTAACTACAGCGGTGATAAATCCCGAGTAATTCGCCTGTATGCTGGGGAGAGTGCCGTGTTCCCCCGGGCCTTTCACGGCCGAGTCTGCGTGATGCGATTCGGGGTCGGGTTCCTCTTCGCATGCATGAGGTGACCGATGATGTCACATTCCCTTTTTGAGTGACATTAAAACGCCGTGCTCATCTGTGATGGTCCGAGGAAACTGGCAGCAACCGGGCTGTCACGATGGCTGTTTTGATAAGGTCTAACAGACAATCGATGCGTAGGGAAGTAAGTGACCGACCCTGGACGCCGTGGAGGCGAGGGACCTCCCCCGACTCTCGTCCCAGAAAGGGAAACAAAGCTACAATAAACATCGGGATATCTACAGTACATTCGAGTCCCGATGGCAATGCAAAAAAATCTGGATGATTGGGAAAGGGTGCCTCGCGTAGAGTTCCCTCAAAGATCCACCCAGAAACGCGTACCCACAGTGGTGAACGCGACTCGCACCGGAGAGCGGTGGATGTTACGCAGTCGGGAGCGCCGAGGAGACTGGAGCTATGTATGGTGCGCGGGCCGGTCCATCCCGAAACGAGGGGCGAGTGAAGACTGCGACCTCAGAGCGGGTTCCAGGCGATGCCTTCCTCTAGTTACGCCATGGGTGTCTGGCGCGGGGAGGATTCCAGGGTGAAAGTGGAAGAGGACATCCGGCCTCTTAAGGGCGAGATGGACAACTCATTGGGTTCAGATAAGAACAGGATTCCGCGATGGATGTTGGCAGATTTTCGTCACCGGCGGAAATTCTCCCCGTTCGTGACCTACTTCGCTAAGCTAATGTATTGCTGGCTTCCTTGTTGGTTCCTTACCAACTAATGCCCAACATCATTTGGTCATTCTAGCCCTTTTTTTCGTTTTTTTTTTTCTTTTCCTCAGAATCCAAGCTACGATTTAGTGGAGCATCCCGATCTTTTTCTCGCACGTAGATCGGCGAGTGCGTCTGCTAGCAGACTCCGGATGGGACTCGACCCAAGGCTGGACTCACCCTGCTTCTCGTCCCACTGACCAGACGAACCCAGACAGACACTCATCTCATTTTAGCCGCTGCTCGGGTCCCGAGCGACCGATTTTTCTTTTTCACGTTTTCAAGTAACTAGGCTTGCTGGATGTCCTACAAGTTTTTCCCTATCATTTTTACTCCTGGTCCGGTGGAAGGGGGTCTCGAAGAAAGTACGCTACGACGAGTGCCAGGCAACGTGGAACGGGTTTATACTGTACGACGTTTCGAACGGAAATGGGCAAAAGCTGACTTTTGTGCTGGCAATGGACATCGCCGACACCTTCGTCCGAAACAAGTATACCTGGCATCGGGTGTCTGACAGTCGTCCACTCGCATTCGAAAAGCCCTATGGGCCCATTCCCCGTCACTCGATCGTTCCCGATTCACGCCTTCAAGTTCCCCCATCGCCGAGACGTGGTCGCCGATTCGCTGGAATCTGAGACGAATCGGAGCGACTAGCCGATCTGCCCCCATCGAGCTACAGACGCATCGGTCTGCCTCCCACTTGCCAGAGCGCATTTTCTGCAAGATGTCCTTCCGGCAGACCAGAAGCAGAACGAAGTGCCAAACGATCCTCCCAAACCGAAGACGCTGTGATGGTTCGAGCACTTTTTCTTTATCGCTGCCATTGGAGGCATCGACAGAAAAAACTTCCAGGACGTCCAACATGCCTAGTTGCTCGAAAACGCAAATAAAATCGGTTGCTCGGGACCCGAGTAGCTGCCAAAGTGAAACGAGCGCCCGTCTGAGTTTTCCTGGCAGGTCGGACAGAAGAAGGGAAATTCCGTCTTGGGTCGAGTCGCATCTGGAGTCTGCTAATAGACGCACTCGCCGATCTGACGACGGGCGAGATAAAAGATCGAAATTTTCCACCGAATCGTTGATCTAAGGGAAAACTAAATGAAGATTTAAAAAATGGAGTCTGGAATGACCAAATGATGTTGGACATTAGCTGGCTCGTCGACGAGGAAGCCAGCAATACATTAACCTAGCGAAGTAGGTCACGAACGGGTAGAACTTCCCTGACGAAAATCTGCCAGCATCCATCGCGGAACCCTGTTCTTATCGGAGTCGTCCATCTCGTCCCGAAGAGGCCGGATGTCCTCTTCCACTTTCACTCCGGGGACTTCCCCAGACACCCATGGCTTAACGAGAGGAAGGAACCTCCCGAATGCAACTCGAAGGTCACGGTCTTCCGTTCGCCGCTCGTTTCGGGATGGACCGATCCGCGCACCGCTACATCCACTCCAGTCTCCTCGGCGCTCCCGACTGCGTGACATCCATCGCTCTCCTTTGCGAGTCGCGTTCACCACTATGGGTACAGATTTCTAGGAGAATTTTCGAGGGAACTTTGCTAACGTGAGGCACCTTTTTCCCAATCGTCCAGATATTTTGTGTCGTCGTCGGAACTCGCATGCAGATATCCCGATGTTGATTTTAGCTTCGTTCCTCTTCCCTTTGGGCATGCCGAACGGCGCCGAGCGAAGATTTCCCGGCCGACAAGATGAGCTTCATTCTCGCCGGTCTGGATTCACGCCAGCCAAGTCGAACGGGCACACTCGGGTTTGCCACCTTTGCTCGGCGAAGACCTCGTTCCAGACCGGTGAGAGTCGGGCTGATCTTGTCGAATGCCCGACGAAAACGTCTCGGCGCCAATCGGCATGCCTACACCCCGAGAAGAAAGAACTCGGGTTTGCCACCTTTGCTCGGCGAAGACCTCGTTCCAGACCGGTGAGAGTCGGGCTGATCTTGTCGAATGCCCGACGAAAACGTCTCGGCACCAATCGGCATGCCTACACCCCGAGAAGAAAGGACCAAAATGTCGATCGGTATACGTCTTCCTTTTTTATTTTTCTTCACGGGAATCCGTGGAACTTCTGAAACCAGTTCGGAATGGATACGATCCCGGATCCCGGATCCGGGAGAAAGGAAATGCTGAACCAATTTTTTTTTTAGAATGAGCCACTCAGTTTTCTGAATGACCCCTTCTTCGTTCTGAAAGAAGAGATTATAAATTAAACTTAAATTTCAACATTTTCTCTGGCTGGGAATGCGCTCCGAAACGACAATGAAAGACTGTGCATTTTCTGTTCCAAGTGTCAACGTGCTGATGATGAGGAGGACGTAAGCCCTTTCTTCCCCGTCGATTACATGAATTTGATGGCAGAGAAACGGCAGAGGCTGCCATCTATATCAAGAAAGGGAAAGGAAAAGAATCGTTTTTTTCTCTCCATCCTCGCGGGAAGGTTCCAGAGGGAACGGACCAATGGGAGGCGTTCCCGGCAGTCCCGCTCGCGCCTCGCACGGCTCCTCTCACACCTTGGTGGCACTGGGCAGCGCCAGCGAGGCTGAGCCTGTCGGTCTCGTGTTGTGGAAGGGTTACGTGCTCCCGTCCTTACTCGCATTTTGGTGCGTTCTCCCTTATCGATTTTTTTGCGGTTGGAAATTCATCACCATATCTCGTGAGTGTCAGCTCATTTTGCTCCATTTTTTGCTCTTTGTAGCTTCCCGATACAATTTTGATTAATCGCGGATGCGAGTCTCCGCGGCGAACGGCGAAGTCGACCCGCGAAAAGTCGCCGAGTGCGTTTCCTCAGATCATTTGGGCCGACCGCGCACGGACGCTTCGACATCGCCTCTAATGAAAAAAAAAAGCTGTCGATGAAACGACGCGGTGTCATTGTTTGCCAGATGCGTCCCAGACTCCCGCCGCACTTCCCTCCCCCCCCCCTCTCTCTCGTGTCAAAAGAAATCTTGCCATCATATACCTTTGAGGACTTGTTATGATCGACGCCTTCGCTTCCCATTTTGCACATCTGGAACGTGTAACGCGAGCAACGGAAATCAACTGTCTCCCGATACCCTCCCGAGGTGAGACGAAACTTATATCGGTTTCGTCTCACTTCCCAGTCGTTTGATTTGACGAGCGATGAGAACGCCGAACCGCCTCATTCGTCCGGTCAACTATGACATCCATCCCTTCACGTTCCAAGTAGACATCGCAGAAGTGGACGGATCGAAGTTACATGAAGCTTCCCAACGTAAATTTCTCTCACTATGCAGGCCGATTGCTTGTGATATGAACGTGTTGTCGGCCCGCCCCCCTCCCCCCACCCCCTCTCTAAGAGGGTGTTCTCTCTCTCTCGCTGCCCGTCCTTCCATTCCTTACCTTTTTACTTATTCTTATTTATTCACATCTCGCGTATAAAGAGAAAACCCGGAGGAATTTTGACTTGGGGGATCCGGAGGGGATTCATGCATTGAAAAATCTTTTCCCTCTCCTTCCGCCTCGCATTCCGTCTCGCGATCGGGGAACGTGCGGCGATAGGTTTCTAGATCGCGCGCGTGGCTCAGCCATTCCAACTCTCCGAGGTTGAAAGTCGGAATTTCGCGCATCGCACCGGGGGCAATGGATCCCCCCCCCCCCTCGGGTGGCATGGCTCCTCTCTCGGCTCGGGTCGAACCTCGTCATCGCGTCCGGGGCTCGGTGATGTGTCTCGACGCTCGGTTTCCTCCGTTTTCCTTGGGCGCGAGAATCCGTTTAACTGTTCGCACCAGATAAAACTCCAATTTGTGTTATATTCCGGTCTCACTGATGAACGTGCTTGGAATGCGATCTGAAATGACGTAAGGAATCGTATTCCTCCTTATCTCCAGGACTGATGTATTGCTGTTTTCGGATATTGAAAGGCTCGGCATTTTCCTTCTAATTGACTGTATCCTTGAAATTCATGGGACACAGGAAATGGCAGGAACGAGAATAGAAGTAAAAGGACCAAAAAAAAAAGAATTAGCTAGAGGGCATTGACCCTTCTCGATGCCCAAGGCCGAAGAGAGGAAAACGGAAGGAGATCGCGAAGGGACGGGAAGAAATCCGCGTGATTCCAGGAAAGGGGGGAAGAAGGAAGGCCAAAACACGGCAGCTGTCCCTCTCGTGCACGCTCGCACCTCGCAGAGCCCGGGCGGCGTGGGCTGCCGCCGCCGAAGTCTCTCGCGTGACGTGGTGGTAGGGGTGGAGGGGGGGGGCATGTTCACGCTCCCAGAGGAAACGTCAATCGGTGTTCGATCGGCACTTTTTTTCCGGCACGGGAATCCGTTGAGCCTCTCAAAAGAAATTCAGAATGTATATTAATGGGCTGATGATGCTCTGCGTGATCCGTCTCGACTGTGATGCGATAGATCCGTTCCCGTTGGGTTCCAACGCTAGTACTTTTCACGGCCGAGAGCAGAAAAAGGAAAAGGATGATGCAACGGGGGGAAAGGAAGGAAAGGTCACTAACTCGAGAAAGAGCGGGAAAAGCCCTGGAGCCTTTTTTTCTGGAGAGCAGTGGGTTACTGGATGTGGGTGAGGGACGGGTGCGCCGTTATCCTCCGGATTCCGTCGGAGAGGGATTTCGTCTCGATCTTGCCTCCACGGTGCCGAGCCGATGGATGACGTCACGCCGGTGGGGGGGGACCGAGTCACGCGTCAGTGCACCAGTGCAACAACGGCAGACTCATGCGATATGCGCATCGCGGTGTGTCGCGTCGGATTCCTTAATTATTCGCAGCCGGTTTCTTTCACTTTTCGTAACGTATCTAGGCAGGATCAGTGCTGTTGTCGAGGGCGTGGGTTTTTCGTGCTCCATAGGACGCCGGCCATGATTGAGCCGGCTTTTAGCAGGTGGCGAGGGGAGCCGGGTTGCAGTGGCGACGCTCAATTCTTAAAGGGGGGGACGCAACGAGAAAATCGAATCACACACCCTAATCCTTTTCTCCCCTTAATCCTCCAGACAGCACGCTCCGCTCCTGAAAACCTGTCTTCTCCCTCTTGCCCCGTTACTCATCCTTGGCCGCATTGCGGAGCGATCTTATCTTAATTACTCCTAAGTTTGGGAAACCAGACTTAAAATCACGTCTTGCAGTAGTGGATTCGGCAGGGACTGTGGCATCACGTGCACGCGAAACTGGCGTATTCGCCTGATTGGTACGATTAGAAATGCGATGACGCGTAGGAAACGAATATGACGGTCGTAAATGCTTCATTTTTTTTTAATGCAAAAAATCCTCTAGCGACGAGAGGCCTCCTTGACCGTGCCCCTGGCAAGCCGAGGTTCTGCGCTCAATGAACGCGTCATCGTGCCTCCGTCGCCTCTCGTTCTTTTCTTCCTCTCCTCCTCTTTCCTTGCCTATCATTCCCCTTCGACCTTCCTTCGCTCACCTTAAACCTTCGCCTGATACCTGGTAACAAGGAGGTATGGGGAGGGTGGGGAGGGGAGGGAGCAACAAACTGCTTAAGAAGCACACGGAGCTAGAACCACCCTTGCTCCATGCTCATCATGCCATTCAGTAAGAAAGTGATAACGTGAGCTCATGTTAGTATGTATTATATAATTTCTGGAATCGGGTCGGGTGCGGACCCTGACTCGAATCGGACCGATCGGGTTGTGAAAAACCTGACCCGTGCAGGACTACCCCACCACTCGCGCTTACGTCACGGCCATCCGTTCGCTCTCCCTTTCCATTCTCCCTTTCCATCCTCGTTTTCCGACTCCGTTTTTGGGGGGCAGTCCGGTTTCTTCGGTGTCGCGCGGTGCCGGCAATGTTGCATGGGTATCAAGTATGCCGGTATCCTGCCGCTCGACGCGATACGTTAGCAATTCGCTTCACGGAAGGTTAAGTCTTTACGTGAGTGGAACGGACGGGCCAAATGTGATCGATATCCAGTCTACAAAGATTAAATCCTTTTTATGCCCCTCAGGCTCTTAAATGTAAGCATGGTTCCTCTTTGGAAACGGAACCTCGATTCGGCCTTCCCAGACAGGGTTCTCCGTTTTCAAAAACTCATACTGGGAAAGAAAGACGATGCATTTTGAACCTCCTTCCCCCGTTGCAGGAAGTCGATCGAGAAACCTCTTCGAGCAGGATGAAACGGTATTGTTTCAAGAATCTGCCTTTTCTCTTCCTCTTCGCGACCGTCTGCGGATGCTTCCATCTTCCAGGTGAGGCTGCGTTCTTGTTACCTCTGACCATCAAAGTGTAAGTGTAACCCTTTCGTTCCCAAAGTAGGAATTGAGGTGGGCGAAAAATGTTTAATTTTGTTTTACGGTTTCAGCAAGGAATAGGAGGCATATAGAATTTTAAGATAAAATAATGTCATTTCATTTCATTTGAAATTAATGGGCATTTTGAGAAACTAAAACTTTTACTACTTCTAAGTAACTTTTACTTAACTTTTTCTGCCAACAATAAAATCCTTATTTTGTCAGTTTCTCAACGTTTCCGTACTAATTTCTGAAATCAAGGGCGTAGCCGGGATGTTTCCGGAACTGAACGTGTCAATCGATCCATCGTTCACATGGGCACGTGAACAGACAGCCTCTGAAAACTCGAGAGAAGGATCCAAGGCAGATATCTGCGAGAATTTCTTCAGCGAAGTTTTCTGATCATTTCGCAGTTGTTTTAAACCCTCGCTTCCTCTCAGCTTTAAAATGACATCTGGGGTGGTGTTTTTTTATTTTATTACATCAGTATATCATGAGTACTGAGTGATTTATTTCACTGCTAAGGGATATGTACCCGAGTATTTATTGCACACTAATCAATTCCGTAAAAATGTAAATTTTTTTTAAGGAGTAAGGTCAGAAAAGGCCCCAGAGAGGAAGCGAGAGTTAATTTGTATCAGGGTCGATGAGGTTCGTTCGCGTCATGCAATAAACACAAGACCGGTCACAGCGACCTTCTTTTTGAGATGATGAGTCTCACATCGGCCTCACTAACGAAAAACTGAAGGCGAGAAGACTGAAGGACGGTGGAAAACTAAGTGTTCCTCGATTTAACACGTTTTCTCATGACTTCGACATTCATTCGTGAAGAACGCCCAGTGTACTAGTGACCATGTCAAGTGGAAAACATTGTTATAAAAAAACTTGTTTATTACAATGTTTTTCATTTTATTATTAAAAAGGCCGAATGTTCTCAGTTGCGCGACGGAGTTAAATGAAGCATCTGGCCACACTTGCGTTTACTTCCGTCAGACTCACCTGTGTTTCATTCTGAGTGCCCTCTTTCATGCACACTAAATGAGCAGATTCAGGGTCTCGTGCAGTCGTGAAGAAAGCCGATAACAAGAACGTCAATGAATAATTTATTGAGTTTTCCTCCCATAAGTATTTTCTAAAATCGGTGCCGGTTATCGGCGCATCAATCTAAGACCGCCTCCTTTACTGCCCTAATGTATTATTTCATGTCATGCGCATGCATGTTTGGTCACGAGGTAAGGAATTCAGTTTCTTGACGTTTGTAGGCCAATGTACTGCATATCTACTCCTTTGCTTTTTCCGTTCTTTTACATTCAAGACGCAACGTAATGTTTCACTTTACTGATGGAAATTTTCGTTGCAGGGACCCCCTTGACTTGCATGCATCATGGGCCAAACAATGAAGAAGTGGACTGTGTCATGGACGAAGTGAATTTGAAGGGATATATTAATACATGTGGATATCCTCTTCAAGCGAACTTCACCTTTTCGGTAAGGCTATGGTGTAAGCATAATATGGTGGGTGTAAGGCGAATCCTATGGCCTTGCGGCCTTGTGACATCTATGGCCATAAATCAGGCCAATTTATAAGCTGTTATAGCTAAAGCTATGAAGTCGTATGTTCTTGAATATTGTGCTTCTGGAAAAACATTTGGCTGAACAAGTACACTGATGGAAAGAGGAAGAGACACGTGCAGTGTTCCAATGGTTCAGATGCATTTCTGGTTTCACACTGTTCATTCAAAATTCAGTCTACATCCAAGGGGAAGAATAATTAATAAAAATATTTGAATATTGGAGTAATTTTTTAAATTGTCCTTCAAAGGTTCTTGCAATGGAGTTTCTGATGGAAATTTTAATATTTTTAGTGGGCGTGTTTTGAGATGTTGCATATTACAAAAGACCTCATCTTGAAAAATGTTAGATCATTGCTCTAGGCAACACTTCAATTAGATTGTTCCAGAAGTGTTTTTGAGAGAGAGAGAGAGCAAGCAGCTTAGTTTTTCTGGGGAGCACATGCAATATAAGCAGTGTAAGAACAAACAAAGCATTTAAACAGTGGGTAAAAAAATAGAGGAAAGAGAATGAAATGAAGAAATTAATTGATAAGGGGGAATCATGCAGCTTTGATTTTAGGTCATACCCAAAGCCAATGGCTTGTCCTGATCTACACAGGTTGTTTTACTAATATCACATGAGAATCAATGGGTTGGTACTTTTCATTTTATTTCTATTTGTTATTTATGAAATAGCATTGAATATGATTAAAAAGAAAGTGGTCCTTGAATGTACATACTGTCCCAAGAGAGTTGTATACATTATTTATCTCTACAGAATCACAGAGATAAATAGGCAACAACAAACTGCATGTGGATTTGATGAAATGATTGAACTTGGTGCATTGCACTGGAATACTGGTGGACTTGGTGTTGACTTCTTGAAGCTTATGTCTGGGTAAGATGTGGCAGCAGGAGTTTTGGAGCTGGAAAGACACGTTCTAATCTGGAGTTATGTGTCACTGTGCAATCTCTAGTTCCTCTCCATTATTATTATTTATTATTAATTATTATTATTAATCATTATTATTAGTTCCTCTTATGATGTCATGGAACTAGACTTCTGAATTCCCATGCAGGTGCCAGGAATATATCCAAACCAGGAGTTTGGGTACATTTTGGGCAATCCAGAAGAGACAGTCCACATTGAGGGAACAGACAAGGAATTTCAATGCAGTGGTGATACTTCTCCTCAACAGGACACCTCCAAAAAGAAACATACCATATTGGTGAGACGTTTTTCTTTATTTTTTTTAAAAGCTCAATTAATGAGTACACTCAAAAAGTATTTTATATTGTGGCATGACTCCATCATCTTTCTAGGAGCACTGTTGAACTAAGTGCTCTAACAGCTATGCTTCTACATCTCTGCAAAATATCAGTATTTTACATCATCAGTTTGTGTGATATGCATGCATTTTGTTTTTAGCCATTCCAAAGCAGTGTTCAACCTAACTTTATGGCTTGAACATTATCAGGCACATTCTGCAATGTTTCTTATCAGCATTGCAGTAGTTCTGTTCCATTTCTTTTCAAAAATTTTCCATGCCTCTAATATTGTTTTGGTTACAAATGAAGCAGCTCTGTGCATCTCTCTTTTCCACACCCTCTGAGGGACCAAGATGGAAATGGGTTGACATGCATTTTGGTACTTGCAATTTGTTGGCAATGGGATCGAAAAAGTAGCCAGCAAAGGGAAAAAGTTGTGGCAGCTTATTAAATAAAGGCTAAAAGTGCTCTTATAGAGGCAATTTGTGTGCAGAAAAATACCATGGAGCCAGTAGAGGTATAATATATTTTTTTCCCACAAACCAGAGGCGACAAATTGAAATTTCCTGGGAAGGATATGCAAGTGGACTAAGTGGGGTGGACCTGCCCCCCCCCCCCCTCCTGCGCATCTCTGTTCCCATGAACCACGCTCGCAGATTCGCAAGGATTTTCCTAACCTGCATGGAGCTGTAGAGATGGCCTGTAAAATTCTCCCCCTCCCCCTGTGTTCATTCACTCCTTTCACTCCTAATGTCACATGGGTGGCATCACTTGTGCCATGATATTGTTATTTATCCTCTTTTCAAAACTGAAATTAGATGAGCCCAAAAGCAGAAAGAGGAGCACAGGTTTTGGAAATTCTCACGCATATTCTACGAACTGCAAACAAAAAAAACCAACCAGATGCTGCAGGGCGTGCCCAACAAGAGAGACACGCTTTAAGTGTGTGATGTGTGGAAACATTCCCCTTTATCATGATGATTGTTTCCTAAATTGGCACTCGTTACAAATCTACGTGAAGAAGCTAAACGAAGTTTATTTGTGCATAAAATGAAATAAAAGAATTTCATGAAAGTTTGGTTAGTTAATCTTCAACAGCTTTAGCATTGATAGTAGTTTTGGCGAATGTCTAATAAAGGTTTGACACTGTGGGGAGCGCACTTCCATCTGGGAGGGACGCCGAAATGGTTAAAAGCTTTGTTGCTCTGAGGACATTTGCAGCCCTTCAATCTTTTTGAAGTTCATGTTGGTTTCCCCTGCTCTGTGTTGAGAAAGTTGGATAAATGAATTGAAAGCTGCAGAAATGTGTGGATATTTATGGATGTGTCTGTTTGTCCAGTGTTTTGTAGAAGGGAGAGAGAGAGAGGTAAACTTTCTAAACTGGACCTTCTCTAGTGACCCTACGGACTGTGAAAATCTCGGGCAAAATCTGGGGAAAACCATGACAACTTCCCAAAAAAGTGATCACGTGTCAGCCAAGGAAAGTAATTCCACTTTTGTCACCATTCTGCCTGAAAATGAACCTGCCAAACCTACCACCTCACACCTGAGTTTGGGAATGAAGGTGCTCATTGCAGGTATGGTTGGGATCGTGAATTGACCAGCTTTTAATGAACTGTGCATGTTTTGTTTTTTTAAACTCCTATTCCATGAAGCTCAAAACTAATGTCATGGATTGCTAAACACTGGATCAGTTGACTATATGCATTTTTCGAGATATATATTTGACAGCCCTGTGCAGCTGTGAGATGCAATAATGAGAACTGGTGAAATTGTAGTAAATGTATAATTCAATTCAATTCTGATATCTTTCCATTAGCTCTAAAGTGTGGTGGGCTTATAGCACCCTTCAGGAAAGGTGATTCATATCATCACCAGCTAATTGCCCTTTGTCTTCTGCATAATCATTGTACAACATGGATGCATGTTCCTTTGGAAATGAAATTATGACTACATTTCATGAATGAATAGCAGCCTTAAGTGAATGGTCTTGTTCACAATATGGCATTGTCATCTATTTGCAGGAATCATAATTGCAGCATTGGTATTGGCATTTCTGTGCAAGCAGTACCTGATCACCAGCTGGCTAGCAGCAGGGTTGGAATTCTCTTCAAGAAGGTGATGGATGAATCTGATGAAGATCCTGCTGTAACTGTTGAAGAACTTGCTCAGAAACTCAATTCCACCCATTCCACCATTCACCGCCACTTGCGACGGCTAGGAAAAGTGTCAAAACTTGGAAAGTGGGTTCCACATTTGTTGTCACCAGACAATCTTAGGGATCGAGTAAACATTTGCTCTTCCCTATACTCTTGTGCACTTCAAGCGCCGTTTTTGAATCGACTCATTATTGGGGATGAAAAATGGGTGCTTTATCACAATGTTAAGCATCGTCGACAGTGGGCTAGAGTCAGGGAACCTGCTGTACCACAGGCAAGAAGAGGTCTTCACCCCAGGAAGGTTTTGCTGTGCATTTGGTGGGATATTCTTGGCATTGTTTATTTTGAACTGTTGCAGCCCAATGAAACCATAACAGCGGAGGTATACTGCCGGCAGCTCCATCATTTGAGTGCTGCATTGCAGGAAAAACGTCCTTCATTGGCCAATCACAAGGGTATTTTGTTTAATCAGGACAACACGCGTCCTCATACCGCTCGGATCATGTGTGCCAAAATCGAAGAGCTGGGTTGGGAAAAAATTCCACATCCGCCGTATTCACCAGACATTGCACCCAAACATGGAATTGAAATGCTTGTAGAAAGGTGGCAGAGAGTCTTAGAGAACGAAGGGGAATATATACTTGATTGAAACTTGATGCGATGCAGGTGTATTTTAATTTTGAAAAACAGAGAAAAAAACAACATTACTAATGGGATGACCTGATACTTGGCTATTGTGTTTTTTATTATCTTATCTCTGGGGAAGCAATCTGCAAAGATTTTCCAAGGTACACATTCCTCCAGTGGGCTTTGATATTTGACCTGTTTAATCTGAATAGGTCATTAGAATCCAGTTTATTTAAATATATAGAAATGTCATATTTAAGGGATGTTCCTAGTTCAGTTTTGAATTTGAAAATTTCATTCCATATTTATCTTAACCCTACAATGCATGATTTTTTTTAAATATATCAAAAAAATTTTTGCTGATCATATTTTTTCATGTTGTTGATGGAAAATTGAAAAAATTATCCTTTCATTTTGGTTTTCCATTGTTTTGTAATGTGTTTCCATGCAAAGCAGAGCATGCCATATCTGGCACACCATGCAGTGTAGGGTTAAATTATCAGATGATAAGTATTTATATATTATATGAAGATAATTAATATTTATAGGGGGAAAGCTCAAAATATAAAATTAGGAAAACTAAGTCATTTGGGCTGTCTAGCCACTCTGTCCAGAATTGTGCAACTTACTGTTTTCACTTTCCCTTTTCAATGGAGAGTCTATGTGGCATTTATCTTGATGGGTTTGCTGCTTCTTGTGTGAGTTCTTCCAAATTAGCAAGAGTTATAAGCCAAAGCCACATAGGCTTCATGTTCCCATTGTTAAATTGGTACTATTGTTAGCATTATCCTGAGTGATTTTTGTGAAAGGTTCACTGCAGCTGATATTCTGACATTTCAAGCTCTAACCTGACAATTTCCTGTAATTTACTCTCTTAGCATAAACATTATATAGTGACCCAAAAATCAGTTCAATTTTTATCTGCTCCCAATTTCCAAGCTGCAAACATAGCTTTTCTAAAAAAAAATATGCAGTGCAATTCTTTCTTATTTTAATTAAATTTCTTTCACTTAAGTGATTCATATGCTTAGGAAGCAGCTTCTTTGAAGAGAGCAGTGCAAATCATTGTGTTCCCAATCATTCTGCCAACTCAGGGTAAGAAAAAACAAGGCAGGAAAAAAAGCTTACTGTCTTGCTCAAAGCACTATGTCCTACCTGATTGCTAAGTATCAGCTATGTTACCAAAACAGTACAAATTTTTTATCCAAGTTTTCAATGGCTTTTCATAAGTTGTGTCTGCCTCTTACAGCCTCCCCACCTCCCTCTTACACTTGTGACTGATTTCAACTCAGGAAACCATAACAAAGTTTGTGCCTTTTCCTGAACTTAGGCCATTTTGAATAATCTAGATGCTAGCAAGACCATTTAACAGTATTCCAACAAAATTGTGGTATTATTGTTTTTGTTGCTCAATCAAACTTAAAATGACAAGAATCAAATCTTTAATCAACCTTCACCGCTTGCCTGTGTAGTGCATAATATTATGCCTTAAACAGTCAGAGTCTTCCAAAGAAAATACTGTGAGAGCAGGATTACCAGGAAAAATATAGTAGTGGGGTTAACCTGGCAAAAATAACATTTTTTAACATTCTAATTCTGCAACTCTACAACATACCAAAACAATACCTACACTACTTCCAAAGAATACCTATTTGAAACCTTGTAGAAACTTTAAAACTACCCTGTGTTTTGTAACTTCTGTTATTATTAGCAATATGCTTGATACTTTATGCATGCAGTCTATTTAAAGTACTGTATTTCTTATAGCTTGTTTTGGCCCTTGTCTTCTTATTGGATGAGGATTCTGTTTCAGAGGTTCAATATCAGTCACAGAAGATTTGCTTATTGTTAACTCAGCACTAAACTGTTGTCACTCATATGTTTCTGTCACCCAGTTTTCTGGAGTTTTGAACCATCAGGCATTCACACTCCCAGTTGCATTTATATATTTTTGTCACTTTTGGCCATAGATTGCTTGTGTGATGTGCACTAGATGAGCAATGAATGCCAGTTGTCCATTGTGATATTATTACATTTTTCCTTTAAACTTCTTCTGTACATTTTTTCCATTGTTGTTGATGTTGACCTCTCCTTTGTGGGAGGTGAATGTCATGTTTGTGTTTGTCTAGGTGACTGGTTCCCAACTACTATGCCAGTGTTAAGTAATTAAGACTCAGTTGTGCCGTGAGATTTTCAAGCTGACATAGAAAAAAATATTTCAATCTGTTTCAGCATGGACATGAAAACTCTGATGTTCATGAGTCTGACTGTCTGATACCCTCCCATCACTGCATCCCACCCCCATAGCATGGTTCAGGTTTAATATTAAAGTAAGTAAATTGATTAAGAAAGCAAGGTTTGCCATGGAAAACCTGAGTACCCTGATGTTTGCCTCAAATCAAAGCAAGTTGGGAACCACTGGCCTAGGGACTGTTAGAACGTAATATATTGCAGCATATGTTTATGTTATGTGCAATATCTTTATGAGATGGAGTCATGCTTAGCTTGTGTTGAGCAATATTGTTTGTCAGTTATCAGTTTAAAATTTTTGCTCTTGTGCTTACATTTGTATTTGATATTGTGAGTCATGCATGCTGTTGTCCCACCCAACTAACTGTCATTTATATTCTTCTGCCAAGGATTTCATTTTTTGCTTTGAACGTTTGCCATTTGTTATGATCGCCCATGGCATTCTCCCTTTGCCAAAGCTCTCTTCATTTGAATTCCTTGCCACTAGGACACTCTATTGTTGGTTACCTGGATAAGCTCAATATCGTCCTATTTCCTTCATCCAGTCACACATTCTTGTTCAATTCACAGTGACATTAACATATGAATGAATGTATTTTGCGAGAATCTATTTGTTCATTTCCACACCATTTGCCACATGGGCTCTGGGGTTGAGGTAAGCTACCTTTTGACTTATGTAAGTCTCAAACTGTCCATGCAGCACAATTCTCACATGTTCCAACAGTCAGCCCAATCTCGATCCTGTCTGTTGAGGTGAAACACAGACCCCAGTGATTCAATGAATGATTCAATTTCAGCTAATCTGGGATGCTGTTTGCTCCCAATTCACAGGGAATGAAGAATAATGGGTGACTTGAAATAGGATATTAGTGCTGTGAAAGTTGGCTTTCTGGTAGATTCTAATTTTCATATACATTTCTGTAAACAGCTCAAAGTTACCTTTGAATGATGGGCCAAGGTAAAGGAAAATAATAGAATGATCACACAAAACCTAGTGAGTGTTACTGCTTCAGCTTGCAACATATTAAGGTGAAAATGGTAACACAAGCAAAGGTCACCCTCAAAATAACCCTGTGGCATTGTTTAGGGGTTTGTTATGTACATTAATTATTTTCTTCTTTTGTGCTTGTGCAATACATTTTTGAGGCACTTGTAGAGCTCCCTATTTTTTATATTGTTTTGTGTGTTCTTGAGCTGGGGTTTCTGCAGTATACTGCCCTTCCCCAGTTGAAAGTAAAACTAAAAGCTGATGATAGCAAGTGCGTCTGGCTGGCATGGCTGCTAGGAGTGGTGCACCGGATGGTGCAAAACACAAAAGCTTCTTATACAGTATGAGGTTTATAAAGCCTACTGCAAGTAGATGTATATTTGTCTATTTTTTTATCACACAAAAAACTTTTTAAATTTTCAATAAAGATTTGAAGTCTCTAGGATGTTTTAGTTTGTACTGCCTTATACTCTAAACACACCATCTAATTCTGGCCTTACTTTATTGCCAAGAAAATCTTCACAATCGAGAATACTCTGATGAGGACGAAAAAAAAAAAACAAGATAGAACAGCCTTCATAGCACCAAAGAAGAGAAATCTTTCGAGCTGAGACTGCATCCACCTCGTGAATGAAAAGTTACATCTCTTGACCTGCTTTCTCATCCAGATGACTTAGGCACTTGAAACTGTCAGGAAACTTAATTTCCTGTTCAATGGGATGGGAAAAAAATCACGAGCTCATAATTTCCAAAGTTGGTTTCACAAGGTGTCAAACAGGAGGCTTATTTTCGGGCCACCAGGTGCCTGTACCACCCAGTACAAGTATAAATGAGCACTCAAAATAATGGCACGATGCCTGTCAGGAAAAAAGAAAATTTGTTCCGTCGAGAACGTTGACAAAGGAATCAGACACTCCGAGTACGCACACAAATATATTCCAGCGACCAATAGACAAGATTAAATGCTGAAGCTGTATTCAATTTCTGAACGTGAAATTCCAAATGCAATCACATTGAGATGCATTTGAAAGCGTTACGAAGACTTCCACCCGTTCTTTCATTGTTCAAATTGAAAAAAAGGAGCAAAATGTGAATTTCAGTTCCAAGACTTGTGGAGTCCTCCTCTAGCCCGCAAGGGAAGACGTAGCAATTACGGAGGGAAGAACCTCCTTCCTCCTGCGCTCGCGTGAGAGTCGACAGTCCAGTTTCCCTTCCTACGCCCTCGCGCGGCAGTCGCGGAAAAGTGGCGTAAATGGACGGACGGCCGATGCCAGTGGGGTCGTGTCCGAGCCAGCACGCATCAGCCGGACCGAACCGCGCGTGCTACCGCCGGTGTTTGTGGTTCCCCGCCGGACGTCTACGTCGGATCGGGACGACCCCTTTGGTCCCCCATCAGCGTGAGGCTCTTAACTATCACTAACCCCTTCCCCTTTATCCTTTTTGTGTTATATTGTGCGCAGTGTCTAACTACGCACCTTTTATATCAACCCGGAGTCTCGAATAACTTGAAGTCAACCATCCTGGAGTCAGTTTAGCAACAGATCTCTCCGAACTTTGCCACCTTCCCGATCACAGTCCGACTGTCCTAGCACCTCGGATCCGGACCACCCTGTGGCCAGCCGGGCTACCTCGATCCCCCGACGCCTGCGGAAGGCTACAGACTTCCTTTTCGCTTGTTACTTTTTATTTGTATCGGTGCAACTTATCCTGTCGCTCTCGGTACGGGAAACAGAAAGAGAAGAGAAATTTATACATTTATTCATTCGAGTCTATTTTTTGAACGAGGGGGGAAGAGAAAGGACGACGACCGACAGATCAGAAAACAATTTCAGGGAAAAGGCATAATGGCTAGCGATGCTAAGAAGAACCCTAAGGCTTTTTATCGGTATGCTAGAGATAAGGGTATGGCCGGTATACTTAACGAGTTCTTCGCTTCCGTTTTCACTGGAATCCGACTCGGCACCGACTTTGGAGGAGGTCCCTTGCAAAACGTTACCCCCTCATTCACCAATATTTAACCGCTTTTTCACCTAATCTTTACCTGATTAACTTTACCTGATAACTTCCGACAGGTTAAGAGAGGGGAAAAAGAGGGGAATCCCCGATTTTGATCTGAAGCTCAGGGGAAACAACTCCTCCTTGAGCAGGATCTTGAAAAGAGATTAAAGACTCAATAGGTGAAAATTGCGGTTAACCCAGGGGTTCTTTCCCCTCGCACCTCCGCGCTCGTCTTTGTTATCCTTGTGAGAGCGCTTTCCATATCGCTCCGTAGCCGTCATGACTGTGAGTCGGTCTCCGTTAGTGTCAGAGGTTCGACTCTTTCGCAAAAATGTTCTTTGTGTTGTGATGTGACTTGTTTCCTTTGACGTTAGGCTAAGCTTATCTCGGTGTCTGTGAACTTTCGACTACTCAACTCGAAATAGTCTAGTGTAAAAGTGCATTCACAATTCTGAGACTTATGATCAAATCGACGAGTCGATCGACAGATCGATAAATGTTGCCGACTATTTCACGACGTGATTCTCTTATGTGAGTCGTGCTTTTATTTTTTGATCACAGTTGTGATTAGCATATTTTAATCATAGTCTCAGTGTTAATGTTACACCTATTATATGAAGTGACAAGTACAACAGTATTCTTGAAATAAGAGGTAAGTCTGGGGTAAGGGATATTCTGTAGGCAACAAAAGGTGAATGACAGGTAAAAGAGCGGTAAATGAGAGGGGAACGGTAAAATTCGGAATTTTACTTCAGGTAAAAATTTTTTGTAAGGGGTGACCACGGCGCGCATCGAGGATATTACGAGTATCCCAGGGAAGATCTTGGAGAGCATACTAAAGGACCATCTTTTGGATTTCCTCGAAGGAAACGCGCTCCTCCGGGACTCTCGACACGGCTTTAGGAGGCGTCGAAATCGTCTCACCGATTTGCTCGAATTCTACGACTGGGCGACGGAAGAGAGGGATAAAGGGAATCCCGTGGACATCGTCTATGTAGATTTCGCGAAAGCTTCCGATACCGTTCCTCACGAGAGGTTACGGGTTAAACTGGAGGCGCACGGGATCCAGGGTAGGACGAGCGAGTGGATCGGTAGCTGGTTGGCAGGACGAGACCAACGGGTTATAAATGGGGAAGCGTCGAAGGAGGTCGGACGAGCAAGCGGTGTCCCGCAAGGCAAGGTCTTTGGACCGCTTCTGTTTTTGGTCTACATAAACGATTTTGATCTCGGCGTAGAGGGTAAAATAAGTAAATTTGCCGACGACACCAAGATAGGTGTCGTCGGCACCCCCTATAAGGGGGGAGGCGGATAAGGCTAGAGCGGAGCGAGATTTAAGTCTTTTGAACAAGTGGAGCAAGAAATGGCTCATGGAGTTTAGTAAAAGTAAGTGTAAAGTTCTCCACGTCGGTCGAAAGCGGTAGGTCTCTCGACACGTTCGGCGATGTTAAATTGGATGAGGCAAACGGAGAGAGAGATTTAGGTGTTTCTATCGA